ACGGCCTGCAAACAATTTTTGCTACTTCCTTCCAGGTGTGGTGATTCATTAACCTAACCATTAACTTACCATGTGTGACGCCCTGTGATATGCAAGAGAGTCGGCAGATGGTAACCGCAGATTCGCCAACGGTTCCTCCGTGTTCTAACGCCGCTGATTCGTCCACGTTTAACATCCAATTGGCCAACTGATCATGATATAGAGGAAATTATCTGTGACTTACATCTGATTGGCCAAGTTGTACACGATCTGGAAGAAATCATCTGATCGTAGAGACTTATTTACTGCTTGACAGCAACGATTACTATGGAATGGGCCATCACTGTGTTTTTGATGTGGCTGTCAACTGACTATGTACCCAATGAAATATGTCCTTTTGCTATGAACTGCTCAAATGTCACATTAGGATAACAGAACATCTGGATTTGTTCTGGGATAAGTTTACGCTTATTGCTAGCTTACAGATATAAATTTAGATGAATTGTAACACTATAAGTAAGACCGTATAGAGTAGACAGTCGTTCAAGGTTACGTGTCTCGAACATAGCATAGCACAGAGACTGTTCAGTGCTGGAAAGATGGCGTCATGCAATAAACTAATGTGAACACAAGCTGGCGAATCACTCAAGGTCGACATAACTATTTCATCTATTGCCTATTACTCAGCCTATAGGCTAAAGATTATGCACACTCGCTTGAAGTAACGACATAATTTATTTTTTGAATTAAGAATGCCTATCTTCTGTCAGGTGCTACAGTACTTCTTCTACATTTCAATGTTCAGGCAGTTTTGAAGTACATACGCTCTGCAATATCTCCAACGGTTCTCCGCCTTTGATGAGGATACCGTTGACCGCACCGATGCCGCTGCCAACCATAACGGCAGTTGGAGTAGCGATTCCCAGAGCACATGGGCAGGCAATGACCAGCACCGCAATGGCACATTCAAACGCAGTCTTGTAGATCATTTCATAGTCAGCATTGTTTCGGTTCGAATTATGGTTAGCGGTCACATTATGGAATTTCATAAGATGGTCGTGATTCTATAATAGTTAGTCATTGTTCATAAATATATCGATCACTCACTTCACTACTTAGAAGCAGGCTTCTGAAGTTGACATTAAATAGTCATATAAACGTTTTAATGAGGATTTTTTAAACAAAAAAATAACCTGAAGCGAAGTTACTGAGTCAGCATTTTGGCATTATGATGGACATAACGTTGGCCTCCAAAATCTTTTCTTCGAAGTGAAGTTCTTCGACCTCAAAGATTTTCCGTGCTATGACCATTAAAGTGCAAAACTTAAGCCTTAAAGTAATTGACGCTGGTTAAAAATGCATTTACAAGGCTATTTTCAGGAACGAACAAATTTGTAAATTTGACTAATTCTGTCATTGTCAAATACTCAGCGTGGCTTAAACACGGAAGCTGCTAGGCTGTGGTGTGTATCGATGGTGTTATACTCGAGAAGTACTCGATCGTGTTGCAACGTAACCACCTGATCAGGTAAAAGTTGCAAGTCGATTACGAGATAGTGAGAACAGTTGTACACAAATACTGCTGCCCGGAAGTCATCAAAGGGGATCTATTAAAATTTATGGCCATTTTGCAGTTTAATTATTGATACGAGATTTACACTGAGAAATGCACACTGACCTTTGCTTTTAATCGCCATGGGAACTGCCAGACCGGATCACAGTGCCATCGTACTTAAGAGCCTGCAGGGCATTCTGTGCAAAGTCATGTCTCTGAGTTGGCCTAAAGGCATGCTCGACCATGGACAAGATTTTCCACCATCCGTAGGCAAATATATGGACAAAACAAGATAATACAATCCCGCTGTTTCGACCAGCTGTCCCGAATAGCAGATTTACAATTGCGCCCATAAATATGTCAGTTAAATTACAGATAAAAATTTTTACTGTTTAAACACCCCATCTCCATTATGTGGTCCTGTTTTCGATGCAGTGCAGGCACATCGTTATTTCTGGGTGACTAGAAGCAGTGGGGCTGTGAGTCTGCCAAAGAAATCCGCATCATTAATTGTAATGCAATATTTAGCAGCAGAATTGAATAATTGCTATTCACTGCAGTCTCCCCAATATCAGGCCATACTTTACTTCATTTTTCCTACAGTGGTATTTATATCCTCCTTTTGACCTATCATCTGCAACGTTGCTCACTGCGGCCATAAATGTCTTAATTTTTGTGGAGTCAGCCAAAATTTACTAGATTTCTGTCTTAGACTTGCCTGCAAAACGTCTAACTCAAGTAAATGGTTTCCATAGGTAATAAGCCCATGCCAGTTTTTATTTTGTTCCTTTTAAGCATTTAGGAACGTCAAAGCTTTTAATCTCATTTTATGAGATTCATGAGACAACTTACGTGGTGAAGTTTAAGGATGAAGTCGATGTTGAAGTAGCCAATCACAACCCACGTGATCCACGTTATGACTGCCAGGCAGATTACACATGGAATAAAGTACTGGGCTATTCGGTCGGCCATTTGTTGAACGGGAGCCTAAATGATTGCTTATTATTATAAGTGTGAACACGTTATCATCAACTGAGGATGCTACTGCAGAGAATGGCTACGCTCTAGCCAAGAATTCCAGTTCATAAGTACCACTTGCTCAGTATTTTAATTTACTAAGTACTCTATGCCATCTAGTCTGGACACATCTGTCACAGAAAAAGACAAACAGGAAGTTGTGTGGCAGGGCGAGAACGACATTACTCAGATCTTACGATATACTTGGAGTGATGAACTTTGGCACAATTAACTACAGAAGCAATGACAGGGGAGTCAACGGAGCTTTTAATACCGTTAGAGAAAATTTTGACAAAGCTTCAACAATTATCTCTCATAAAAGGATTTGAGGAAGCCGCGAATATTAATTCTCGGAAGAAAGAATTCTAAGACACTGTTTATCATCACGCCGCCTCTGAATAGGAACGACGATTAATAAGTAAGACTAAGCTGGATTTACAAGGGTAGAAAAGCAAAGTAAACAAAAGAAAACAACGCTGTTCCAGTGTTTAGCTGCTACAACTTCAATCTAAACGTATAAGATAATTCACGATTCTGCATTTAACCCCTTAGGTTGAAAATGGTATTTGTGTACAGTAGATGTTTACTAATAAACCCTTAATATGATAGAATACAAAATGGGTTTTGGAGGAATTGTGAGAACTATGCTTAAAGTTT